GTCCCACCATCACCATGCTTCACTGTGGGTATGGTGTTCTATTGGTGATGGTATTATTTATGAGCCAAACATATTCTTTGGAATTATGGCTAAAAAGCTCCATCTTGGTTTCATCAGACCATCACACTTTTTGCCACATGGTTTAGGGAGACTTCAGATGTGTTTTTGCTAAATGTAGCCTGGCTTGGATGTTCTTCTTCGAAAGAAAAGGCTTTCGTCTTGCCACTCTACCCCATAGCCCAGAGATATGAAGAATCTGGAAGATTGTTGTCACATGTACCACACAGCCAGTACTTGCCAGATATTCCTGCAGCTCCTTTAATTTTGCTGTAGGCCTCTTGGTAGCCTCCCAAACCTGTTTTCTTCTAGTCTATTCATCAATTTTAGAGAGACGTCCAGTACTTGGTAGTGTCCCTGTTGTGCAATATTTTCTCCACTTAATAATGACTGTTTCCACTGTGTTCCATGGTATATCTAATACCTTGGAAATTCTTTTGGGACCTTCTCCTGACTGATCTTTTAGCAGTGAGATCCCTCTGATGCTTTGGAAGCTCTCTGTGGATCATGGCTTTTGCTGTGGAATGAAACTAACAAAATATCATGAAAGGCCAGCTTAATTTGGGGTTAATCAGAGGCACTTCAAATGATGGCAGGTGCATGCTTACTCCTATTTAACATGATTTAAAATGGGAATGCTTATTCCTGAACACAGCTATGTCTCCAGTTATAAGACGGTGTACACACTTATGCAACCATATTATTTTAGTTTTTCTGCTTTTCTTCCCTAAACCTAAAATATTCCAGTTTGTTTCTCCTTCTCTGATATTATTGAGCGGAGAACCTCTCACACCAGTGGTGTTCTGTTGCTAAATACACGAATGTGTAATGAATCGAGGGCCCAGAGAAGTGTGGCGGTTCAGTGAGACTGACAACTGGATGGTTCAGTTGTTGGTTTAGGAACAAAAGGTGTTATTGGCTGTGGTTTTAAGACAAATGTGAGAGAACCACTTCATTTTTTAAATAAATTTTTTTTATCTCCATGAAATATTTATAGCTATTCTATGTTAGAACGTTTTTAAGAGGCATGAAAAATGTTTTAAGTTTTGTTTAGTGGATTTGCCCTTATAGCTTTAACTCAAAACCTATACTTTTGTGAGTTAGGAGAAAACTGCCACTGCCAGCAGGCTGATGGGTGTTCGAGCTGTAAAACATAAAATTCAAAAAAGAAGAATTTATGTGAATCTGAATCACATGGTGGGATGTGAAGGTTGTGTGGTAATTACACCAGTGCTCTGAGTGCTTGTTAGTTCAAATCTCTGCAGTCATCTGATACTGCTGAATTAAACTAAGCTCCCCAGCCCATGGCACATTTTCAGTGAACTGTGAAAGAGGGGTTGCAGATCTTTACAATGAGCTATAAGCTGCACCTCTAATACCCTTCAATCACAACACTAAAGAAAGAAACTTTCAGGGATGTTTTGCGGCATAAATGCCAAAAGCAAGGATTTCCCTTTAACCAATATTTGTACACTGAAAACATTTCAATACATCCATTATATCTATACAAAGGGCTGATGCTTCCAGGGAAGTTTAAATATAAACATGGATTTGAATTATTTAATATCACGCCAACAAGCATGGAAGGACAGTGTTCATCCTTACCAACACAACTGGGGATTGCTGTAAAGACACGGACACTAGTAGCAATCTGCTGGGTTCCTTACATATTTAATGTTTTGCTGATTGGCATAATGAACTGAACTGTACTGGAATGTTTACTTTATTATGTGGGTGAGTCTAGACCCTAAGAAATGAAATGTTGAATGTTATGTTAACTGGTTCCATTAAACCAGTTGCCAAAATGTAAAGAGTAATATACAGTTATGTTAAAAGTAAATATACAGTGAGGAAAATAAGTTCTCACACTTAGAAATCATGGAGAGGTCTGAAATTCACATTCCCAAAATGAAAGACAGCATTTAAATAAAATTCAGTAAATCAAGTGGTATGATTTTTAAATAATTACTTGTATTGCACTGCTGCACATTTGCATTTGAACAGCTGGCAATCAGCAAAGACCTGTTACTCTGCCTTTAAAAAGTCCACCTCTACTCCACTTATTCATCTAAATTAGTAGCATCTGTCTGAGTTTGTTAAAGACACCTGTCCACCCCACACTCAGTCAGACTCCAACTACTACCATGACAAAGACCAAAGACTGACCTGCCAACCTAGTCAAAATTTTTGAGTACCACATGTGTGGTGTTTTATTTATTTATTTTTACAGACTTTTGCAACTCCGTTGCTTTCCACGCTGTAATGTCCCCATTGACTGGCTGGAAACATCTTCTTGAATAATCCAAAGTATCATGAATTTTAATATTAAACAGTAAAACTCAAAAGTTGCAGTTGCTTAACTTTTATAATATGTGTGCGCTTATTCAAGCTGATAGCCACAAGTTACTTGCATTGAATTATTTCAATACCTAATTAATCAAAAATAATAAAAAATGTTAATATGTATTTATTAGTAATGATTTATTTTGTATATTGCAACAGGTGGTTCTGTTTTCAAAAATCTAATATTAAATTGGTTTAAAGCACATGTGCACACACCACTGGGGCTAATTTATACATTACCTGCAGCTCCCTGGTGGCATATGTCCACATTGTAATTGCAGATTAGGCAAAGTGCATGGTGAGTTTAGAGGGTTGCAAGCATGGCCAAAAATGTTTTATTACATTTTTTTCTCATTAATTTGGAAAAAAAAAATTATTAATTCTTCCTGTTTTATTTTATTCATTTATTGTTGTTTGTTTTGTAGAAAGCTGAATTGGTTCCCTTTCTAGTTTCTAATGTGGAAAGGCTAATTCCAGCAAATTTTTCCACTTCCTGCATCTTTAATCTGCTCTAATTATAAAATGTTTTATTTCTTGAGTGACCAATATAAACTCTGTGTGCTAGCATAATAATCCAAACTTACAATACATCATTGAAGAAAGCTGCATTCTTTGGACGCTCACTAATCTACTAAAGGTTTCACATTTTACCAACTCATTTGTGGATTTGGCTGTTATTGTAGAATAATCTAGTCCAGGTCTGAAGAGTCTAGGTCAGGGGTGTCAAACATGCGGCCCGCGGGCCGGATGCGGCCCGCAAGCGGGTTAAATCCGGCCCGCGAGATGGTTGTGTAAACTTTATTTTCATACTTTACAATGTAGAGTGAAAATAAACGTAGTTTTCTCTGTAATGAGTATAAATAAAACAAAGCTGCGCTCAAGGCTCACACAAGAACTTGAATCGCATCCTGAAGTTGGCCGCCACTCAGGATGTTACTTCTGATGTTGATGTGCCGGTGAAAGCTAAAAGATGTTAAGTAAAATGAGTCAAATAAACTTTAAGTGCTGCATGAAACTGATCTAGCCATGTGATCTGTAAGCTCTTTGAATCACTAAGGAATTTTTTATTATGTATTGATTTTTTTTTTCAAATTTTCAAGTACACTTCAGGTGTTGTACTTGTACTACACTGTCCTCAGGCTCCAGCCTTGTTTCATATTGATTGTATTAAAACAAAGAAAACAATCTGAATTTTTTTTTTTTTTATTAACCGGTCCGGCCCACTTGGGACTAGATTTCCCTCAATGTGGCCCCTGAGCTAGAATGAGTTTGACACCCCTGGTCTAGGTGTTATAGATTTTGAGCTGAGTCATTTCTAATGGTTCTCTTTTGCTTTTTGTAATAATTTAATCTCTTGTTCTCGTAAAAATAAAACAAACAAACAAATAAATAAATATTCACATCGACAAGCCATCTCTGAGGTGATCCATAAGCAGGGTTGGTACACATAACTTCAACAATTAGCTCCAGTTTCTAATGTTGATTTGCACAAAGCGGATGTTTTAACGCACGGAGGCTGCAGGTCTGCTGTGTGTGACCAGGGCGCACCGTGGGTGTGAACTTGTAGTGAGCGAGCACGTTTTTGCAGAGCGGTAGGGGAAATGGGTTATAACAATAGAACCGAACAGAATACTAACGTAACATTGGTGCAAAAATGTGCGGCTTTTGATTAGCAGCAGGCAGGGGCAGACAGGGACAATAATTCAGGCTGGGAATTTTGAAACTATCCCAGGCCACCGCCCAATTTACGCTAAGCACTAAAAGTGAGTCAGGTTGGGCGCCTACTGATATAAAAGTGTGAAACAACTAAATTAAAGCTTCACATGTGCCCTGATTCTTAGATAATTAGATGCCAAATTGCGTACTCGCTACACAAAATGAGTATAGGTTGGCAGGTCTGCAAAGAGCTGTCAAAACACACCAGAGACAGAAATGTGGACCTCAACAAGGCTGGAAAGGACTACGAGGCAATCGTCAAGCAGCTTGATGAAAATAGATCAACTAAAGACTGCCAGTCTCCCTCGGATGGGGGCTCCATGCAAGATGTCACGTGGTGGGGTATCACTGATTATGAGAAAGGTGAGCAATCAGCCCAGAAATACATGGGAGGGGCTGGTCAATGACATGAAAAGAGCTGGGACCTGTTGCAGTGTGTCAAGAACTACAGGAAACATTTGACCTAATTGCAAACAAATGCTTCTGTACCAAATAATAATATTACTTTTCTCTGGTGTTCAAATACTTATGGGCAGCAGTGCAATACAAATACGATATTTAAAAATCATCCAGTGTGATTTCGTGATTGTATCTCACAGTAGAAATACACCTACAGTGTAAATTACAGACCCCTCCATGATTTCTAAGTGGGAGAACTTGTAAGATCCCAGGGTGTTTAAACAATTATGTTCCTCACTGTATATCACTCTTCAGATTTAAGCAACTAGGTTTAGTGCAAACAGTTGTCATAACTTGGTTAAATACATTTTACATTTCATTTCTTACAGTGTAGGAAACATCTGTACTGAAGTTATCATGAAATCCGGCCCAAAAAAAATGGGAGGGATCTGCTACATTCAAGGACATTTTTATTATTTCCTCACCTGCATGTAGATCTTCTTCAAACCAGGAATGAGGTCACCAATTTTCCCAAAGGTAAGGCGTCCCACCCCAGATGATGCTCCGATACAAACCAGGAGGACCCATTCCTTATCAGTTGCTTTGAACTTCTCCTTCACAAACTTCATCTGAGACACACAGAAACATTAAGTTTGTTTTTTTAATCCCACTTTCTCCCTGTTCAGTTTATTTATGTAGCAACAAATCACAGCAATAGTAATCTCTGAGCAATATACAGACAAAAAAGTAAAACAAGATGGATTCACTGTGTTTATTTTTGTGAAGGTGGATAACATGGTTGTGTCACACACCCTTCTGATCAACTTCTTTTAAATATTATTTCTGATCCACAGCGGAAGAATCAATAAACTCTTGAAGTGAATCAGGAACTGTTTATCCATAATCCTAAATCAAGGGCTAACAATAACAACATGTCTTCATCAACCGGCCTTCGGAACAGCAGGACAGGAAGACCCAACGCATATAGATCAGACTCCCTCACTCCCCTTAGCCACATCCCTCTCAAACCAGATCCAAAACATGAAACCGCCCTCTGAAGTCCTTCCTGAGCCTCCTGGACCTTGTGAAATATTTGCTCTGCTTTGAAGAGCTCTACATCCATCAATGGCCATAGGATAAGCATGTTTGGGGATACAGAGAGGCCATACAGGAGACGTTTCCTGAGGTGGTCGAGCCAAAACAAAGGCCGGGGCTGTGTTTACATCTGGGCTTGGGCCTGAAACAACAGGTCGGTCAGAGGGAGGCCGGAGCTAGAACATCTGACATCTGGATAGAGGGAGATCAACTTTACAACGTCATTCTTATTCTTCTCTGTTGCGCTATCTCACATCAGCCTGATCATTTGTTAAGTAGACCTTTCGTAAATTAGATCCTGAAACTGAATATATAAAAAAAGGCTGAAAAGTATTGTGTCATTTGAAAGCCAACTGTACTTTTTTCATCAATAAAAGGGTCGACTTTACTCATACATTTGCAGTGGTTTCCAGTAGGAATGAATGCCTTGTAAGTTATTCTCCGGAAAAGCTCATGCACCTGTTTTAGGAAGTAGAAGTCAGCCGGAGGAGAAAGTGGCAGCAGACGACAGAATTTGGAGTCTTATTTCCTGATATTTGGACATTTAGCCTCTGATTGGCTAACAGCAACGCAACTCTGCTACTGAATTGGTTTGCTTTGCAACTTTGATATTTTCGTCCATCCATTTTCCTCCACTTATCCGAGGTCGGGTTAAGGGGTGGACTGGGATCACAATTCTGCCCTGGCATTTTTTACGAACCATCAACCCTCAGACCAGGGGGGATAGCCTAGTCTCTACGGGTTTGTGCTGGCCCAAGCTGGGCAAGCAGCCCACCGGGACAGTGCCAGAATGCCAGATAGGCCAGTCCACCCCTGGTCAGGTTGCAGGGGCAGCAGCCTAAGCGCAGAGGCCCAGACCCTCTCTTCAGCCATTTGGGCAGCTCCTCTGTGGGGATTCCAAGGTGTTCCCTGGCATTGATGCTTTATCTCCACAAATAACACAAGCCTGAAAGAGTTCTGCCATGTGGTGAAGTTGCTAATGCTAACATTTAGCATCTATTAGCCGAGACGTTCTCTGTTGTTTCCTGGACACTTAAACAACAACAACCTTTCCCATTGTGGGTCAAGAGAGGTGAGTGTATGTTAAGTGACAGTGTGACGTAGATTAGTCAGGATTTTCTGAACTGAGGATATTTCCATCTACTTTCTATTAAAAGTTAATGCAAGAAATAGGGGTAGAAGATTATTTTCACATTCAACCTGCATGTTAAACTAAGAGTGACAGATAATTTAAAAAAAGGTAAAATATGTTTTCTCAGTGAACCTGCTCTTTAAATAGCAAATCACCCCCAAATCAACTTTTTTTTCTGATAAACAATATAAATGTGTGTCTAATCGTGCTGCAGACACGTGTAGTCAATAGTTTTGCACTTAAGTGCATTTTAGTTCAAATTTAAATTTTCTGCCTAAAACTGTCAGTGTTGTGCCGTTGTCAGATAAAAACTCTGCACTGAATTTGAATTTAAATCTGCCATCGCTATTGGCTAAGAGGTACCCTAGAACATTAGCTTGTACTATATGATGTCACAATGTCGTTGTGAGACTGTGTGTGTGTGTCTTTGTTAGTGGCTCCGCCCTCTCGGTCTGCTAGGCATTTGTTGCATTTTTCAAACAGGAAGTGGGAGTTGAGTAAGAATCTGGTAGGGGGTGACTTGCTCTTTAAGTCTTTAAAATACAGTTTAATACAGCTTTCCATCAGATGTGCCAGCAGACAATAATGTTGCAGGTAATGACGCTTTTTTTTTTTTTTACTGATTAAGCAACAGAAATTTGCATGCTTGACTTCCTGTATATGAACTGCTTTGCTTGATGCATTCTGGAAACATAGCATAAATAGACTGGAAGAGTACATTTCAAACAGGACCACAACACTGCTTCTGGAACGCATCCATGCCAGGTGGAAACACACCTATTGACTAAAGCAGCGACTGTTAGCTGCCTAAATGAATACTTAGCAAATTTTTTCATACTTTTAAATAATTTTCTTGAGCTAGTATGTGCTAAAATGACCCTTTACAGAGTTAATGAAATGCCACCCAGCTCCTTTTTCCCCCCTGTGGCCAGAATATTCCACTTACAACTTCACAGTTGTCAGTCCTTTCTGTTGGAAAATTGAGCTGACATACCTGACACTGCAGTCTGGTTCCAGCACATTTCCTGCATGTTTTAGATCATGAACACAGCCGATTTATTTAATTTAGTGATCAATCACTCTTGTAGACACTAATGAAGGCTGGGGAAACATTTCAGCTGCTCTGGTGTTAAAAAGACGAACGCACAGCAAGGAGATCAGTTTTGCTTCCGGTTCTACAAATGCACATTAGGGGGTGCTAAAAGCAACCCAAAACCACCTAGTTCCCCTTTAATACGCGTCACAGACATAACACAAATAATACACATCAAGTGGAAAGCCAGGGTAGAAATCATGAACAATATTTTAAAAAAATGTGAAAATTCTTGTATTAGCATTAGCAGACTGCATTTATGTTACTGCAAAAATAATGGATGTGATTCTGTTCGAAATTTCTAAACCTGGGCTATTGAAGCAGAGGTGTCAAGTTCCCACCCCGTAATTAGAGGGTTGCAGGTTCGTATCTGTCACAGTCGTTGTGTCCTTGGGCAAGACACTTCATCCTCCTCACCTGCTGGTGGTGATCGGAGGGACCGGTGGCACCTGTGTATGGCAGCCTTACCTCTGTCAGTGTTCCTCAGGGCAGCTGTGGCTACAATGTAGCTCATCACCACTAGCGTGTAAATGGGTGAATAATTGTTGAGTTTTAAAGTGCCTTGGGGGGCTGTAGGACTCTAGAAGGCGTTAAATAAATTCTGGCCATTTGCCAATCCTTCAAGACATTTAAAATCAAAATAAGGCTGGGGCTGCGTAATAGAATGTTTGAAATATATATTTCGAAAAAACATTTCCTCAATAGACATTTGAGAATGAGTTGATAGAATCTCAATATAAAGAACAACCAAACAGATCTTTTCTGTAATGGAGCCACACGGCAGCCAGGCGGATCGCTGCTTACGGCTAATGTTTGTGCAGTTTTAGCCCTCTGCTGCAGGTAACATGGTTGGTAAAAATAGAACAAAATGAGAGCTCCAAATGGGAAAAAAGATGGAGGACACAGTTAATGTTGTTAACGGTGCCAAACTGTTCAATCATGTGGACGTAGTTTGGATTTCCTTGAGTTTGTCAGAACCTCTAGCAGCGCAGCCTTAGCTCGTAGCTGCACCGCTAGAGAGAAAACACTGATATTTTCGAGCTCCTGAACCAGAAACAACAGCTGGAGCAGCAGGATGTAGAACGTTATAATCCCAAATGACAGTGAATTTAAAGAGATTCCCTTAAAGCACCATCCATGTAACGTTTATTTCACTTATCCACACAACGTGATCAACCAGAAGAGAAAGTCTATACCAAACACACACAGATCTCACAAACCTCCATTATTAAAGGGGCATTAGGGAAGTTTGACAGTCAAAACATGTATAGAAATAATAAAGTTCTTCTTCATACATTCTCCTGCTATGCCCTGGTCCTGTAGAATGAGTCCTGGCATTTTTACTGTGATTGCCTGTTTTTCTGTAAAATCACAGAAAAAGAGAGTTGAGCTGAGCTGCTCGGGTCGAGCAGGCTGCTTCATGCGCGTTCACACTCGGCATCGCCGTAGCATTTGCTATCAGTAGCTTTAGCAGCAGAGAATGAGGTAGTGCCAACTCAGCGACTTTGTCGCTGTTCCTAACGCCTAGTGATGAACCTAGCTACATTTCTGAGGATGCTTAGGTACTTTCTTCTAGATATTTCCTGCAAATTAGCAACAAAATAGCCATTTTTGCTCCGAACCATTCTTTGAAGGTTGTTTCAGCTGTCATCAAGGATATAAAAGTTACAGATACAACAGACGTCATTGGCCCTTTAGCTCACCTGAGCCTGAGATCAGTGGACTCAGTGGTCTCCTTTAAAAAGCAACTGAAGACTCACTTGTTCAAGCTGGCTTTTGTATGACCTTCTTCACAACTCTCTCTTTATTCTGCTTTCCCCACCTATTCCACCTTCCTCAGGATCCACTGATTTCCCTTTTTCCTATTCTCTCTTTCTTTCTTAATTATTTTGATCACAATTGTCTCTTTTTGCTCATTTTACATATATTTTTAAACATTTTCTAAATGCTTTTTTATATTTTTACATTTTTTGTTTTTGTGAAGCGCCTCATGATTTTTATCTTGAGAGGCGCTATAGAAATGATACTTTCTTCTTCTTCTTCTTCTTCTTCACCTTGGAAGACATGGGACTCTCGTGCGGAAGATCCGGGTTTGATTCTGGATGTGAACATAGTTTATTTAGAGTTTATATTTTACATTAATGTTATATTTTTTACAGTAAGATGCCTACATTTTTATTTGAGACTTGCCGAACGGCTTTGAATTCACAGATAAAAAAGATGTGGGTTCAACTTTCATTTTGGAACAATTTTTCAGCAAGGGAAGGGAATGATCTGTGAAGCTCACAGACTGACCCATCATAAACCTTTGTCGGCTGTGCTGAAGAGAAAGGTACAGAACCAAATAATTTAATTAATTAGCTGTGCGTTCTCCTGTCCTCTGTCCTCAGGGCCACACACACACAGGACTGTCTCAGCTGTTATTTTCGTTAAGGAGTGTGCACGTACAGCATGCGCGCCTCGTGCACGAGCCTACTATTGAAGCTGCCGTTACGCTTTTGGCCTGAGGGGGCAATCGTGAGCATAAAAATTCAAAACTTCGTAAAGTCCCTTTTAATGCTAGACAGTTATATAATGTTTTATTACATAATCAGCTTTGAAAATAAATCTGTAAAATCTCACTTAAAAGTACCAGAAAGTATTAAAGATTGACAAAAATGGTGATTTGTTTTATCTCATGTGTATCAATAGGTGACATCCTGTGGTCAAATTTGGTTACTGCAATCTCTCTCTCTCACTCTTGTTTCATGAGTTTTATTCTACATAGCACGCAAAGACAAGTCTTTCGCAGTAAGTTGATGAATAGGTAAAAACATTGTCATATCTGGTGTTAGCACTCTTGGGCGTTTTACAGTAGGGAGTACTTACTACACTTATTACGGTAATATGCCACCGGCATAGAGGAAGCGTCGTTTTTACCGTCTGGCTGGTAGCTTGCTGTTATTGCTCTGAACGACTCATTACAGAAAGTAAAATGCTACAACTGGCTCATTATTAACTTCACACATACACTTCACTGTAATATCGAGTTGTTGGTAATGAAAAAGTAGCTATTTTTAAAGCCAACTATTTGCTTCTAATTCACTATGAACACTGTTAGCTTAACTTTAGCATCTAGCCTTCTTTACCCGATATTAGAGTAAAACAGAAAGATGCTGTGGCTTCTCAGGGGTACAAGAAATAACTTTTGGGTCACTCTTGTTACTTGGTTTGGGTCTTTAAACAACTCTAGAGCTTTAGGCCATAGTTGAGTTGCAAATGCTTGCGCTGCAGCGTTAGCTCACAGAGGACACAACAAACTCACACTCACTGTTGGTAAACAGTAGCTACGTTCCTCCTGCCTTTATCTTGAAAGGAGAAAAACTGACAATCCCCTCAACCGAATAAGAGTGAAATATGTTTCAGTACAACCTTACTTCCAACATGATTTAGACAGACTGTTCTAGGATTATTTCACTGTAGAAATCTTACTTAATTCTTACACACTGTACCTTTAAAGACGAGGAACAACAGAAAATGCAGATGGAAACAAACCTTTGAACTGTTCTTACCAAATGGATATATGGCACAAAGTATCCCAACACAGCTGTTGCTACTCCAAACGCCCACACACGGTACGTCACGATGTGAAACACACGTAAGTTGAAGTACTTCCTGATCCTGGCCAGGGCCTCGCTCCACCTGCTCATGCTCTGAGTAGTAGCCTGAGGTTGAGGTTCAGCAAGTCCAGGCCCCATGCCCGGCGGGCCCATTCCTCCGGCGGGAAGCAAAGGTTTGAACGTTAATGCCAGCAGGGCTTGGACCAGCATGAAAAGGCTAAGAATCTGGAAGATTCTGCTGAGACCCAGAGGTTCCATTTTCCCTAGAAAAAGTGGTAGGACTGAGGAAAAGAGGCTGGCCCCAGCTGTGACCACACCATTGGCCAGGCCCAGGCGATGGCGGAAGTAGTGCCCAAGGATGACCAACGAAGGCTGGAAAGCGAAGGAGGAGCCACAGCCAAACAAAATGCCGTACGTGAAGTATCGAAGCATCAAAGAGCTGCAAATAATGAAAAAACATGTGTTTGTAATTCAAATAAATAAATATTAAATGCCATGAATTATTTACCAGTTGCGTTGTAACATCAAGAAAGCTTGATTGCAAATCGCTCCAAGTAATTAGCATCGGGGCTGACCTAAGGCAGTTTTCTAAGTAGGTTTTAGTGATTTTAGCAGCCAAACAAAAATATAATCAGATGGCACAAAGAGTAATGGGCAGTCTGTTGCACTGGTAATGTGTCTGAGATAACCTGTGTCATAAACATCTCCTTATTGATTAAAAGTGCTTTAGAGAACTTCTCCATACTCAAGAATCTGCTGCATTAAGTCTTTTATGGCTTTAGAACGAGCTGCACAGTTTCTGATGGAGCATTTACAGTAACAAGTACAACTTAAAATATCTCCTAATGTGTGGACATGGAGAAATGTGCAGACCAGATCTCTGCAGCTCACACTTCATCTTTGTTTTCAGAAGACAGTTCAAAGACTAGCATCAGCTGGCAGAACATAACTGAATCTCAGAGGTTGCTGCCACCATGTAAGTTGCGTTAAACATAGTGTAGATGTGGTTGACTAGAAAAATGGGCTCTGAGAGAAGTCTTAAAGTACATCTAGCATGTAGATGATCTAATTCACTGAGTGGGTTTTGATTTAACTGGTTTATGTTGTGTGATATTACTTGACCTTCTTACATGAGCTGTTTAATCTCCTCCCATCTCCTTCATAAGATTAAGCTTTGTTTTTCTATCCCACATGCTCCTTGAGCCTTAAAAACCATTTAAGCTGCAGTGACATGTTTTGCAAGTGAAAGCTTTTTATTTTTACCAAAACATTCTTACTTTGCAAACGACGTACTGAGTAGTCCTATGAAAGCCAGTGCTGCCCCGCTGACAGCTGTCTTCCTACAGCCGAAGTGGTCCGTGAACATGCTGACCACAGGTGAGCAGAAGAAGATCATGCCCATAGCCAGGGCACCGACCCAAGCTGGAGAGAGAGCAGAAAGAAGGTCACTATTATTCCAAAAACAGAAACTGCAGGTGTTGTTGAAAATGTAAATAAACTCTTTGTACACAGAACAAAGATCCCTGTCCTGGTTCACCTTTCTGTCTGTCAATCAACTTAAACTAGGCATATGTAAAGGCTAGCAAGGAAATACTATGATGGAAGTTATGTGCCACCTCTGATCTCAGTGGAAGCAGAAAAAAAAAGATAGTTGAGCCATGTTGGTGCTTCTACTTCAGTTGCCTCACATGCATTATTTAACTCAGACTACATCCATGTCTTTATGTCATACGAATGTTAGACCAGTATCTCCATGGACTGCTATATTTAGTGACTGGTTCCATTAAAAATTGAGAAAAACCAACAAATTATCAGCTGGAAGCACACTGAATTGGTATACTTACAACAATTTTAGACATGCAAAGTTTATCATTGCAATTAAACTCACTCTTCATCTGTTCACAATATATTCAACTTTTATTTGAAATTATTCTTGGACAGTTATATTCTTTTTGTGCCCAACTGTTTTTTTTTGTTTGTTTTTTGTTCTTAATTTGTGAGAAATAGAAATAATTGATCCCAAAGTGAGGAAATTCACTCGTTAAGGCAGCGTGAATTGGAGAAAAACAATGCAGGTAAATGCACAAAGGTAGAAAGCCATTATTGTCACCTTCAGCAATTAGAACATGAATAAAAATAGAAATTGAGTTTCCAATTAAAAAAAACAGCATATGGGACACAGACATACAAATGTGAATCTGAGTGTTGCACAGGTATTTCATATGTATTGAATATTGCACTGATGAAAAGGGATAATTCCAGTACCAGTTAAACTGAGGAGTTATACACTCTTACTGCAGAGGGGATGAATGACCTAAGGTGGCGTTCTGTTTTGCATCTTGGATGTCTCAATCTGCGCAATAGAGCTGTCCATGGCCTCCAGAGTGGAATGCAGTGGGTGGGAGGGGTTTTCCAAGATGGACGTCATTTTCACCAACATCCTTCTTTAACACATCTCCTCAACAGAATCCAGTGAGGAGCCCAAAACCGAGCTAGCTTTCTTAACAAGCATGTTCAGTCTCTTCCTGTCTCAGTCAGAGCTGCCTGCATCCCAACAGACCACAGCAGAGTGGAAAACAGAGCCAATAACAGAGAGATAAAAGGACTTTAGCAGATGGGGATTATCCCTGAGGGACCTCAGCCTCCTTAGGAGGTGGAGGAGGCTTTGGCCCTTCTTATACAGAGCATCTGTGTTGTTGGACCAGTTCAGTTTGTTGTTGAGGTGAACACCCAGGTGCTTATAGGTTTACACCACCTCAATGCCTGCTCCCTGGATGTTTACTGGTGAGTGAGGAGGAGTGTTTCTCCAGAAGTCAGTCACCATTTCCTCTGTCTTACTGGTGTTCAAGCAAAGGTGGTTCTGCTCACACAAGTCCATGATGACTGACCTGTACTCCAGGTCATTCCCCTCAGACACACAGCCGACAATGGCCGAGACATCAGAGAACATCTGGAGGTGACAGCTGCTGGTGTTGTAGGTGAAGTCCAAGGTGTAGAAGGTAAATAGAAAGGGTGAGAGCACCGTAACCTGCAGAGCTCCAGTAAGGCACACAGCTACCTCAGACATGTAGTTGTGCATCCTCATGTACTGTGACTTGTTGGTAAGTTGATGATCCATTCAGTCAGATATTCATCCACTCCTGCACCCTTCATCTTCTGCTGCAGTAAAGATGGCTTGATTGTGTTGAAGGCACTTGAGAAGTCAAAAAACATGATTCTCACAGTGCTCTTTTGCATCTCAAGGTGAGTCACAGCCCGGTGCTGCAGGTAGATGATGGTGTCCTCTACCCCCATGTTTGGTTTGTATACAAACTGCAGTGGGTCTATTTAATTGTAGTGCTGTAACGTATTTGCTACTTTTGCATGTGGTGTTATCTATGAACTTTTAAATAATAACACTGACACAAGATCTAATTGGCTCCTTTTTGTAAGAAATGTCTCAGATTAGTGCACTGCCATCTTGTTAAAGTAGAAACAGCTTTACAGGTTTGTTTGACAAGTTTTCATAGCATATATACAAATCAGCAAGCAAAGAGAAGTGGATGTTTGCTGGCCTGAGGTACTGTCTGGTCTACAATGTTAAAGTATAACAAACCAGAACCCTCCAATGAGGCCACTATGTACCCTGTAGAACAAACAAACACATGCTTCAGTCCAGTCTCCAGGGGAGCAAAGGTAGCTTTCATGTCTGTGTTACAGTGTCCTTACTGGGGGGGTCACACTGATTCAGCAGTTCCATTGGATGTGCTGGATGGACTGATTCGACTATTTGGACACACACACATGCACGCACACACACACACACACACACACACACACACGCGCACGCACACTCAGGTTGAAATATGAGCAATGGAGCTTAGTAAAGTCACTGTTGTGCTTGTTTTCTAATTTGTGCCCCATACAACTCTCCACGTGTTCATCTGAGAGTTTAAACCACTCCTGTGATTATCTACAGACCTGGACTCAGATTTATAATCAATTTCTTGACCATTTTAGGTTTGGGATTACTTGTTTGCTGACAGACATCATACAATATAAAGTGAACATTTTTCTGATATTTATGACAACGCGGTCTTGTAACTACACAAACCCCCAAATGCACAACAAATTATTTGAACTGTGTGGTTTTAGAGTTGAACCACATGTTCAACTCTAAAACCACACAGTTCATTAAGATCAGAGCACACAATTTAATTTTCATGTTGTCCTCAATAATCATAAACTTAATCAAATGAGCTGTCTGTAATCACAGAAATGAGCTCTGACAGCCATGAATGCTAATAGTGATGTTTTAGCTACTGACTCAAAGGTTTTGCGAATCAAATGCAAAGCCATGAGGGCATGCATTTCTGTAGCTGAGGAGAGGAACTGGAATAAGAACGACTCTAAAATCTAGAATCTTTCTTCACAATACAAGGATTTCACTACCTGTTGAGTGCTGTTAGTTACATAACCAAAACCATTACATACCTCACACAACATCTGTTTTCCAATAAAATAACATTAAAACTGCCATACCCCCCCCCCACACACACACACACACACACACACACACACACTCCAACCTCCCACACACACACACACACACAAGAATCTCCCACACTGAGAGAAGCAATGGTCTGGGAATGCATGGAGAGCAGAGTTCTCATTAGTGAGGTCAAAACACCGAAACAAAAGAAAAAGAACACAGTGAGCGAGGCACTGAAGCAAAATAGAGGTGTGTGTAGTGGGTTGCTGCTTACTTTGTGAACGGGAGCTTCAGCTTGTCTGCTTGCAAACAAGATTACCCTGAATGTCAATCTTCTTTTGTGTGGGATTTAAAAAATCTACTATTAGAACACACCAGAATCACATAATCTTAATATTGCTCTCTTGTCTGTGTGTGCGTGCGTGCGTGCGTGCGTGCGTGCGTGCGTGTGTGTGTGTGTGTGTGTGTGCTTACATGCAACTTCTTTGATCTGTCATTTTAACAGGCACACAAGCAGTTATCTTCATTAATATTCTGCTTGTCAAACGAAGTTTGCTACTGCTGAGCGTGCAAGCACACTGAGTCTCTTCTGCCACGAAGTCTTTTTGATCAGCAATAAAATGTCTTTGATGCTCAAAATCACCTTCACTCTCCAGAGGAGAAATAATTAAGCTTTTGAAAAAAGAAGAACTTGTTTGCAAACAGTTGAGGTGGAAGGCACGGCACTGGAAAGAAACCATGAGTAATGAGGTTACAGAGTTGGAGTCTAAACTCTCATTTTTAAAGAAGTAGTTCATTTAATCAGTACATTTGAAGTGGTCTCAAGTTATTTGTGCAATTGTGCAATTGTTGGACAAAATGACTTGCTGTGGCATTAATTGCACTAATAGAGCGTCCAAGGAGTCTCCACTTCATTTTTATTGGTAGGTAAAATTATATTTATGTATTTTAGGTCACTGCCGAGCTGAGCTTCGATGTGAACATGTACTGTTTAACCATGAAATTTAAATGTAATAGTGTAAAACCCAGTGCATTTAACATAATGCTGCACTTTAGAAAATGGGTTGAAATATAACATGTTGGTGGAGCTGGGTTCCGACTATCGGCTTGTGGAGCTCTCGGGAGACCGATGTTTTCCACCCGGAATGTCGGCTGTTTCTCCCCGCAGCCCGGTCCATCTCTGTCTCATCGCGGCTTCTGTCTGCTGCGGCGGGCTGACGGCTGGTTCCTATGGCAAGCCAGAACCGCCAAAATACGCCACTTCTCCCCGCAGCTCGGCGCATCTGTTTGATCGCGACTTCTGTGTGCTGCGGCGTGCTGACGGCTTGTGGAGCTCTGGGATGGAAACCTTTCCACGCGGTTTTCCCCAGCGGCAGCTCTGCGCAGCGGCGCTTGTCTGCTGTGCAGCTGCCGGCTTGTGGAGGTCTCCGAGACCTCTGTGTTCCACCCAGTTATACCCAGCGGTCAGCTCGGCGTATCTCTGACTCAGAAGCTCTGGTGTTGTGCACAGTTAACTCCGGTTGTAGCTAGGTTGCTACCTCCGTTAGCTTAGCTCCCACCTCCGCATTAGCTTTGGTTTAGCTTCAGGTTAGCTTGTAGCTAGTTCGACCGGGTGTCGTCAGTTGATCCCAGCCTTACAGCCCCACCCTCAGCTCCACCTCTCTTCCCTTTTATGGAATTGTCTGGGCTTGACGGAACCTGTGACACGGTCAAAATGGCGGTGGTGGCCACCTCCCATTTGGGCTCAAAAAAGTAATATTGGAGCCTATGGAAAGAAGATGTCCACATATATTATGTCGATGGGTTTGACTCAATTTTAGAGCCGCATTGTGGGGGCTTGAGTTTAACACAGAATGTCCTGTTGTGGAGATACGATCTAAGCCAGTCCAGAGTTTAACTCCGCATAAGCGGCTGAAAATAGATGAATGGATGGATGGATATATATAAATTT